AACCCCTAAGTCGCCAATGAGGACGAGTGAGGTCTCGTAAGGGTTTCCAAAGAGCTTAACCCATAATTCTCAAATTAAAGCGAGGCAAAGCATAAAAGGAAAAATAAAATTAAAAAAAAATAAAAAGAACACAAATGCATTTGAAATGGACCTTTGCAAATGACCAAATACAAATGAATGCACAACTTCCTAAACGAATAAGGGAATGCACGTTCCAAGATACCCGAGGTTGATTGAAACATAAAATATGCTAAGCATAGAGAACTACTAAGACACAATTCACCTTCATCCCAAACAATCTTACCACGTTCTCCCTACTAGTTTCAAATCCACCTCTAGTGAGCATCTCAATGATTCCTCAAAGGAACCGGAAAAGAAGAGATTCTAGGGCTACTCGACATCTTGACTATGCAAGCCGCTCCATGGGCTTGACTCCCATCTCCCTCCACCGACTTGTGTCTCAACCATAAAGGTCAAAAGGTCTTGGAAAGGGTTGTAACGTATAGGCAAAGAGGGTAAAGGTAGGCTAAAATTTGAAATTTGGTGGTATACCTAAAATGTGAAGCAAAGGGTGATCAATCTTCAACATCATATTCAAGCAATCACCAAACAAAAATACCAACACCCCCAAGCTTATTCAAATCAAAAATCACAAACATATATACAAAAAGCGTAAGAACGCTTCCCCCAAGCTTAAATGGAGCATTGTCCTCAATGCTCTAAACTAGGGAGATCACACTTACATCAAAATATTTTTGTAATTTTCATTTTTTTTCTTTTTTAATTCTTCTTCTTTTTTTTTTTGTGTTTTTTAAAGCATTTTCTTTTGCTCTCTATTATACTTTATTGCTTTGTCCTCGCCTCTTTTAACTATGGACGGCTTTTTCAACTTGCATTCGCCTTTATTCACACAATTTATATACAACACAAACTTGCTTAGCAATAGAACCAAATAACCTTGTTCATATTCCCATAAGCACGACTAATTGCTTCACAAAAACCAAAGATGGAAACAAAAATAAAACAAATGGCTTAAAAGCTAGTAATATGGCTAGAAAAGAGGATATAAGGCTCAAATCGTTAGCAAGAAGGCAAATGTAAACCCAAAATCAAAAATATTAAATCCAATCCTAGAAAAGGAAAAATTACCACCCCGAAAAGATGTCTTTGTCCTTCCAAAATGGTTCGGTCGCGATCTCGGGAGATAAAAGTCAAGTTCTAGATAAAGTAAGCGATAGTCAAGGGTCCATGTGCCGCTCAAGCAATAAAGGGGTTGAAGGCTAGGAAAATGAAACCTCACATGGTTGTAGCAAAAACTCACTACCAGCTTCAAACCCACTATAAGAAGCAACACCTTCTTACCACAAACAAGTAGACTAGGGCTTCAAGGTCCCAAAAGTTCTAAACACACTACCTTAGCATACTCTATCCTAGAGTCAACCAAGCATATTGTCAAACCGTGCATACCGTTACCATATAGGAAGTCATTCATTAAAAAATATAAGTCCAAATGGTATTATGTCCAATTCATAAGCGAATGTAACCAGAAAAACAAAACAATGCCTCAAACAAAAATCTTTATGGAATTTTTAATATTCAAAAGGAATAAAAAATAGAAAAGAAATGAAAAAAGGAAAGAAAAAGAAAAGGATAAGAAAAAAAAAAGAAGAAGAAAAGTAAAAGAAAAGCACAAAGATGCATGCAAAATCATATAAATCCCAATCGACAAACAAGTGGTCATTCGACTACAACGCCAATGACCCCAAATACCCTTACGGTGTTGATAGCAAACATCCTCGAACCGTTAAACTCTTCTAAACTACTCCTAATCTAACCAAACAAGAAAGAATGATAAAGAGAGAAAAATAGAAAGATTTCACCAAACGATCCAAGCTTGACTTATAAAGGAAGCAAAGAGAAGCTTACACCTCCATGTTGCTCCAAGAAGCATAGCAAGATCTATATGGCAATGTGAGAAAGAAAATAGACTATACACAAAGAAAAATGTTAGTAACTTCAAAACAAAAACGACAAAATAAAGCTATACACTAAACTAGAAAGAATCTGGATTTAATTTGAGGGATTACTTGGATTCATGGGTATGGATTTAAAAGGAGCACAATCATCATCATTCATATCATCATAAAAAATGATCAAAAATCATCATCAACAAAAATCATCAAAACCATCATATCATCAAAGCTTCACCATCATCACAACAACAACCGACAAAAGCATCAATAGCAAAGGAGAAGCATCATGTAAAACAAACAAAACAAGCATATGGACGACAAGCATGCTAAAAACACACACACACACCCTACTATGAACAAGAAATCCCCTAAGCTATAATGAAAACATCTCAACATCCCATCATACAAAGCAAATGATCAACCAATGAAGGGATAGAGGAAAAAGCACAATTATGGGACTATTGGCCACTAGGACCAGCCCCGCCATCATCATCCTTCCTATCATAGGCTTACCATCACCCCCCACAAGACGGTACGGGATCGTGTTGTGGTAGAAAATATGGATAATTAATCGTGGGGGTGATTTCGCCCCGTTAACACTCGTATCAAACAAAGCTTGTTGTTAGAGAAACATACCTTGTTGCATCTCCATGAGCCCTCGCATGCCAAATTACATGCTCTTCATTTGTGTGTGCATAGCCGCCAAATCTTGTTTGAAATTGCCTTCCAAGACAAGTTGCTAGCTCGTTATTTGTGCTTACAAAGCCGCCAAATCTTGGTTAGAGCCTTGATGTTGTTGTCGTTGTTGTTGTTGTTGTTGTTGACCATCATCATCATACTCATCCTCCTCCTCAACACCCGGTAACCGATTACTTAAAGGCACATACCAAACATTTGGAGCATCCCTTTGCAAAGAGGTCAAAGAAGGGTTCGAGAGATAACACCGATGTTCATGCCTCACTAACCAATCAACTACATCATCATCACCATTCTTTGCAATGAAGTTCACTTGCTTAAATTGGGGGATGTTGAGGTAGATGTCGTTTGCATCGCCAAAGGGAGTGTAAGAAGCAAGGTAGCGGGAGTAACCAAACCTTGAAGCCAACCTAGTTACCATACTCCCACAAGTAATCTCGTCCGTTCTCCTTCTTCCCACCATAGATTCACAACTCCTCATGAAGAGATGACCCATTTTCACTCCCTCGCCACTCTTCTCTTGTGGCTAACCAAAGAACCATCAATTCAATTTTGGACATTTTACCCAAATCTTGCTTGGGGAAGACCGAATACCCCAAAAGCCTATGCAAAACACGAAGACATGGTTGGTAAATGTCACTAGCTAAAGTGTAGCGAGCGGTAAATTGCTCCTTCCCCGAAATTGCATTCCACCAAGCGAACTCCGCATCTCTATTGAAATGTTCATGCTCGGGGAATAGAAGATCGAGATCGGGGTTAAAATCAAGGGCCTCATTGAATTCTCGGAGGGAAAGGGTATGAGGGACAATGAAAAGTTGGAAAGATATCTCAAAGTCGGCATCACCAATTGTAGTGGTAGAGAAAGAAGCTAGAAACTCCCTTGTGGGCTCAACATATGTTCGGTAGGCGAAATTTACAAATGTGCCTATCCGAAGGTTTCCAAAAAGCATCCACAAATCCTCATTTATGCCCAATTTGATCATGTGTTCTCTATGATAATGGCGGGAGGGTCTAATGATTCTCTTTTTAATGTCAGTGTGAATTGGTTTGTGCAATGGGTTTTGGAATTTTAGAGTTGGTAGAAGTAAGGGTTCATTGGAGTTTTCTGTTTGAGGTTCATTTCGGGGCTCTTCAATCCTCACTTGGGGTTCCTTCCCCTTCCTCTTTTTTGAAGTCAAATGATCTCAAAACTCTTGACATGATTTAATCAACCAAGATGAAAACCCAACAACTCAATTAAGTAACCACAATCACCACCAACACCAATATAATCAACACCACAAAACTACCACACCAATCAAACCAATGAATGCTAACTTTTAAACTTCACCAAAATCTCACTAAAGATGAAAATAATGCTAAACAATCAGCAACAACAAATGTTAAGCATGAAAGATTAGTAAACAATAACAATAAGAATCAACACTATCAATCAATCAACAAAATACCCAAAATCAATACTACTACTATTCACAAGTATTAAACAATCAAATTATCATCCAAATATGATAAAAAAAAAAAAAACTAAAATAAGAGTAGAGAAGATGATTATACCATACAAGAAGCAAGATTAACCAAGTTTGGAGCACCAATTTACAAAAATTTGAAAATCTTTAATTTGCTCTCCAATGGAGATTGAAGCTTGAAGAAGAAGAAATGGTGAGTAGTAGTATGGAAAGTGGTTAATTTGAGGAGAATTATGTAGAAAATGATAGAATTGTGAGGGAAATTGTTGAATTAAGATGATGTTTGGGAAGATTTGGGGGTTAGGGTTTGAAGTGTAGAGTGAGAAAGAGTGAAAACCGTAAGTTGGGATAATAAGAAATGAGGAAAAAGAAAGGAAAGAAAAGCTTCGGCTGGGCTTTATGCGCGCCTGCGTAGGCCACCTGCACCCCCGTGCAATCTTGATGTGCGCCCGCACGTGGGTTGCACAGGTGATCGCGCTCCGAAACTGCTCTCTGCTTTTTCCTTAGAGCACACGCACACTTCATCTGCGTGCACGCACACCCTTAAATTGCCTCTTTCTCCTTCCTAAAACCTTATTTTAGCATTCTTAATTGCATTTACCTTCCTCAAATGGCTCAAAACAAGGAATATTGAGCACAACTCTCATTATAACCGCTAAACTCCTCTAAATGATGCTTCATGCTTGATCAAATGAATTCAAATCGCATGAAAATCACCCTACAAATGCAAACACAAAAACAAGTGAAGAAAAGAGAAGATGAGAAAAGAGAAATGAAAATTAAAATGAAAAGAGAAAAGTTAGAGGGCCGGGTTGCCTCCTGGAAAGCGCTTGCTTAAGGTCCTTAGCTCGACTCTACCTCCAAGTCATGGAGGATCAAAGAAGACCACATTGTCCAAAGTGGTGGAGAGGGAAAAGTCATTTCCAAGCTTGGGCAAAACCACATCATGAGACATATCATCTTGCACAATAAAAACCGGATCAAACTTGTTAAGCTTCAACTTCTCTTTCTTTTTCTTGGGAATTATCTTTCTCTTCTTTGTTTTCTTCTTTCTTGGGGTAAAGAACTCCATACCGTCAATGCCACTACTCACATCATCATTCAAAGCAAGTTCAAACCAATTCGGCATCTCAATCACATCCTCAACCCATGAGATCTCTTTCTTTCCATCACTAACCAATTTGCTATCAATGCTTATAGAAGTACTGTCACAACCTTCAATGACATCATTAGTAGACAACGAAAGAATGCAAGAAATATCATTCAAATGAAGCGAATTAATGCACATAATTCCTTGCACAAAAGAAAGGGATTCATGCATGGGTTTAAGCTTGAAACTAGCCGAATCATTACTAACACACGAGGTAATAATGCCACCTTTCACATCTACCAAGGCGCCCGAAGTTGCTAATAATGGTCTCCCTAGAATGATAGGAATGTTGTCATCTTCCGCAATCTCTAGCACAATGAAGTCAACGGGGATAGTGAACTCTCCTATCTTGAGGGGGACATCCTCAATTTTACCCTTGGGGAACTTAATAGAATGGTCGACCAATTGTAGGGTTATGTTGGTTGGGAGGAGCTCACCTAGCTTAAGCTTTTTGAAGACAGAATATGGCATTATGCTAACACTAGCACCAAGTTCATAAAGAGCATTTTGAAACACTTTTCCATTAATGTTGCAAGGTATTGAAAAATTGCCCGGATCTTTCATCTTCTTGGGTAAGTCAATGTGGATAAGAGCACTACAATACTCCCCAACCTTTACCGAGTCCACCTCATTACACTCTCTTTTGCCACTAAAGATTTCCTTAAGGAACTTAGAATATTTTGGCATTTGTATCAAAGCATCGGTGAAAAGGATTGAAAGATGAATTTCCTCAAGCATGTCAAGAAATCTTCCAAATTGATCATCAATCTTGCTCCTCAAGAACTTTTGTGGGTAGGGAAGTTTGGGTTTGATCACATTATTTTTACACACTCTCTCCCATCTTGACCTTCTCATTAGCAACCTCAAACTTTTTGCTAGACACATCATGCTCATCATCATTGAATGATTCACTCACCCTCTCACCTTCTTGACTCTTCCTAGAAACACTCTCTTCAAGGACCTTACCACTCCTAGTAGCGATAGAATAAACCGGTTTCTTAGGTTCAATCCCTTGAGAGGGTAGATAAGTAGGACTAGCACTCTCTTTCAAAGTGTTATCTAGTTGAGTGATTTGAGTTTCAAGCATCTTGCTATGTGTCATCATTTCATTGAATTTCTTATCACTAACCGTCATGTATATGTTCAAAATCTTGGTTTAATTTTCAATTATCTCTTCCAAATTAGACCTAGAAGAAAAAGAAGGTTAAGCATAGGAATTATCATCTTGTACTTGGGTCTTTGGAGCAAAACCGGGTGGGAGGACCCCTTTGAGCATTGTTTTGAAAATTTCCCCTATTTTGATTGTTCCAATTACCCCTATTTTGATTTTGGCCATAGCTTTGATTATGGTTACCATAACCTTGATTATGATGACCATAACCTTGGCTTTGATTTTAGCCACTATAACCTTTGTTATTATAGTTACCCCGAAAACCTTGGTTTCCTTGGTTCCTATAACCGCTGCCTTGGTTATAGTTGTTAAAATTGCCTTGGTTGTGATAGTTCCTATTCCCTTGACCTCTTTGATTATCAAACCTTGAACCATTTTTGTTATTAGACACATAATTCACATGATCATTCTCATTACTATCAAAATCATCATATCCATCCGAAAAAGCATGAGGGAAATTAGAAGAATCATACTCATACGAACCACATACATCACAAAACAAGCATCCACAAGGCATGTTATTGGAAGTAGAAAGAGGAGTAGAGTTGGAAGATGTACCTCTCCCCTTATTTTAGGAGGGGAAGAGTAGGTGTTAGAGATGAAGCACTCTCCAATTTGGCTTTGATGGAAGTCATCTCCTTCCCTAGATTTGAGATTTGTGAGGATAAGTTGTTGATGGCATTGAGGTGATCAACGGAGTAAACCGTAGAGTCACTCTTGATTGTTGATTCTTTCTCACCGTCTTGCCAATCCATGTAATGCCTCACTACATCTTCAATGATATCCACAAATTCCTCTTCCGTTTTGTTCATAATAGGTCCTCCGGCTCCCGCATCAAGACAAGACTTCCCTTGAGGGCTTAGACCACCATAAAAGATTTGAATGATTTGGTAGGTAGGAATTCCGTGGTAAGGACACTCCCTTTGATAATCCTTGTACCTTTCCCAAGCTTCATAGAGGCTTTAATTAGATCTTTGCCTGAAACTTTGGATAAGTGCTCTTGCCTCTGCCGTTTTCTTTTGGGAGTAAAATCGGGATAAAAATTCCTTAGTAACCTCATCCCATGTCCTTAACGAGTTCGGCTTGAGTTCTTTATCCAACCATTCCAAGGCACGTCCTATGAGGGAAAAGAGAAAGAGCTTCAAATGAATGAACTCTTGTGAAAATCTGTTCACTTTGATAGTGTTGCAATACTTCTCAAATTCTTTGAGATGGTTTAGAGGACTCTCGTGATTGGCCCCATTAAATTTTTGCCTCTCTATCAAAGTGATCATTGCCGATATAATTTCAAAATCATTCGTCGGTGTTGTAGGTGGAGCAATCCCGCTCTCGAACCTATATGCACCCGGAATCCCTAATTCTTTCAATGCCACTCTTAAGTTTTCTTCCATTCTTTCTTGTTCTTATTCTTGTCTCGGAGGACTTAAGGAACGCCTAGAAACTCTTATCTTCGTAATTGTCCTCTCTATTTTCGGATCAAATGGCACTAGAGAACGACCACGTGCTTTATGCATACAATATCAAAAGAAACTATTAGTAGCACGGGTACAAATGTAGCCAAAAAGGGAAAATTCTTTTTGTGTTTTTTTTTCAAATAAGATTACATAAACTCAACAACTATAGCAAACAACTACGCCATTCCCCGGCAACGGCGCCATTTGGTAGAGGGTCTAAACACGTCGTTAAATGCTTAAAACCTTATCAACAAAATTATAAACACTCGACCAATCCTAAACCAAGTATAGGGTAAGTCAAGGGTCGAACCATGAGGAATGGGAGAAAGGTTACTATAGCTTAAGGTCAAACTATTTCTAAGAATAAGAAGGATGTTGAATATGACTAAGTATGGTCTCAAACAACTAGACTAAAAAGGGAATTCAATATCAAAAGCACTAGGGACTAGGCTCCACACACAATCATGATGGTTATGCCAATGGAGGGGAAATCAATCAACCAAATGTTGTAAAGGAGGATAGTAATTGCAATCAAGAGAACTCAAAGGGTTATCTCCTAGAAGTCAAACTAGGTTTCCTCTATGAATGACTAGAAAGAAGATTGCAATCCCTAAATCAATGGTTCGTGTCATTAGAAATCACAACGCAATCTAGCTCGAAAATCAAGGTTGATCACTCCTTAACAATTCAACCGCATGCACAATTCTATCAACCAATTTAATCACAACATTCAATCAATCAAAATCCATCAATTATAATTTAGCAATAATCCATCATTCATGCATGCTTCACCATCTCCTTAGCAAGGAGTCTACTCACTAAGCATATTGAAATTGAAGAACAAAACTAAGTAAATCACAAACATCATCATCTTAAACTAAATCAAGTAGAAATTCAAATCAATCAAACTATTAACCAAAAGATAAACAAGTCAAACAATCATTCATGAATCAAAAGAAAATTCAAGCAATGGAGAGGAAATAAAGGAAGAAAATCTCACTAATTATCATTGATTGAAGGAAATCCAAACTTGATTGAAGCAAATCCAAACTTGATTGAAGCAAATGTTGAATTACAAATCAAAATCCAAGAGTTTCTCTCTCTAAAATCTAAGAGCTCCAAAACTAACTCCAAAAAAAAACTTCTCTTTCTAGCCTCTCTCTCCTCTTCAAAAATATGAATGAAAAAAACTCTCTATAGAATAAATAACTAAGGAGAAATAAAGTGGATGTCCAAAAGAAACCCGTACAGGCGCGCCCTCTCTCCGGAATGCACGGTCTCGAAAAACGTGATACGGAACAGAGAGCTCAGGAGGCGCGCCCGCACGTGGAGTATGCACGCCCACGCCACTGGAGCAGGGGACTTCCTCCGTGCGTTCTTCAATGCAAGTGGTGTGCTCTTCTTGATTGACATTGGGCATGGCAGTCCCGAAATGAGTTTACGGTGGGTTCAACACCATACTTTCATGTGAGCGAAGCATGAGGGCGCAAGCATCAAGTCGTGGAGTAAGCCATCCCTTGCTTTGTGAGCTATATGAGAGCTTCCACCTTGCACTTTGAGAATCTTCTAATCCGAGGAATCGCCATGAAGGGCCTTGGACTTCACCTTAGACCTAAAAATAAATAAAGGAAGACAAGTAAAAGGGAAAAGATGATAAAATCCACGAAAATACAAGAAAAGGGTAGAAAAGACTAGAATGAGATTAACTAGAGAATAAAAGACTAAAACTAAGTGAAAAAGCATGAAGAAAGCTATTACAGCAACTAAAATCATCCCAAAATAATGCCATTTGAGTGCCATAAATGGAACTCATCAATAAGAAGGTGCAAGTGTGTGTCGATTCGGAGGTGGTGGTCAGAATGTTGGTGGAGAACAACTCCCCCAACTCTCCTTATATTCATATCGTTTGAAAGTGTTGCGCTCTCATACTCTCGTGAGGGGTGGGAAGCAACCATTAAACATTGTTACCGTGAGGCAAATCGGGCCGCGAATTGGCTAGCCAGTTTCGGGGTAGAAGCGTCCTAACCTATCACATTTTTCTCGGCGGTCCCGAAGGATCTTGAAGCTGTTTTATTAGAGGATTTGGGAGGTGCTACTCGTCCTCGGATGGTGCCTGATAGGACTTAGCTCTACTTTCGTTTAGCTAATGTCTTAGGAGCTTTTGTTTTTGCTTTTCTTTATTTTCTGTAGTTTGTTTTTCTTTGTTTCTTCGTTTTTTATTTTATTCTTGTTCTGGGCTTGGCCCACTTTCTCACCAAAAAAAGAAAAAAATATATACTTTATTATATATCCAATATAATATACAAATGATATATAATCTATAAATATATACAAGTGAAAAGGCACATAGAATATACTTGTTAGTATAGATATGAGAATATGTTTTGATCTTGTATACATATGATATGAGAATACTTCGCTTAGAATATAGTTGTTAGAATATATTCTAATCTTACAAACGGATTAGCTAAATTTAAGGAGCTAATTATACACATAACATATATATCATATTACAAAATCAAAATATATTCTAAAAATATACAAATGAACATACTTTATTTGTCCTTTCAAATATGTTTACCAAAATATTTTCGCATTAAAATAAGTTTAAGGAAAATAATTTTTTTGGTATATTACGATTAGCTTAATTCTAGGTAAAAAAAAAAAAAAAAAAAAAAAAAAAAAAAAAAAAAAAATTAAATTTAAAGAACTTATCATAATTCAAATGATCGATAATGTTTTTTTTTTTTATGAAGTAACATCCACTTCCACCGTTTCACTAAGAAACTATGCAAAACCACAGAAGTAATTCATTGAATCTATGATATGCCTACAAGCTTGAAAGCATTAGTCTATTAATTAGTACAATAACACAACTAATTCGGTTCATCATATCCTATACAGTTCGTCTTGTGTGTGGCTGGCCACACGGTGTGGCCGGTTGTAAAAGAACAAAGTAACCCAACACTGAATGAGTAACCTCTGTAATATTGACCAAATAACCTCTATAACACTGACAAAGTAACCCTGTAACACTGACCGGGTAACCTCTATAACACTAA